CTTAGAGAAACAAATTTGATCCTCTGAGTGGAAATTCCCATTTCAACTCTGCCTTCCACCCACATTCCTGGTGTGGATAGTTGTCAGGTGTATTTTGTAAGTCATCAACCCATAGACCCATGGTCTCTGTACCCCAAGATCTTCCAGCTCTGTCAATGGTGGAGGAAACCAGATGAGGACATCCCTGGTCTTCATGGTTAACAAACTGCAAAAACTTGTAGCAAGGACAAGGGATTCTCTAGTATTTACAGTAGATGCCCAGGTGATTCCTTGGAAACTCCATTTAGGCTAATCTATGCCTTCCCTCCAATAAAGATCCTCCCTCAGCTGCTGTGCAAAATAGAGGTAGAAAAGGGTTCCAGTGATCCTTTGGCCCAGAAGGATAAGGTACAGAAGCGTACTCAGACTCCTCTTGCATGACATTCGACCTCTTGGCAAGATTTACTATTTCAATACCCACTATTCCACCGTGCTTCTTAGTCACGGTCTTTAACAACATGGTTGTTGAGACCCTGGTCTTGAAGGATAAGGTTATATTTGATTCAGTCATTCCCATCTTACTCAGAGCAATAGTCTGTTTGTATTTTGGTCTTTCTTCAGTCTGTTCTTGGATACCATTTGGCCCTGCATACCCTTAAAGGCCAGGTTTCTGCCTTATCCATCCTTTCCAGAAACCTCTTGCTTCACAGTCTTTGAAGTGATTTAAGATCTGAATTTTTTTTTTTTTTTTTTAAATAAAAAAAAAACATATTTGCCTGGTCTGTTCAATGATTTTGCACAGAGCAGCCCCAAACTTCCTCTTCTGGGGTCCCTTGCTGGCACTTCTGGCTTCTCCTCTTTTCTGTGTGCCACCATAGCAAGTCGCTTCCTATTGCAGTGCTAGTGCATGCTCGCTCCCTAGATGCACACAGCACAGCTCAGTCCTGCTCCCCAGTCCTCCTCAGTGTTTTGACAGCAGCAGCCAGGCACAGTGTTGGATCCCTATCAAGCTCAGGGAAGGGTTTGGAGAAGGAAGGGAAATAGGTTTTTTTTTTTTTTTTTTTAAACATTTAATGCAGGGTTTTGCCTCCATCTCACAGTTCTCTCCATCCCCCTGCCAGTGGTTGTGTACCCAGGCTCAGGTAAGAGTTGGAGAACCTGGGAACTACGGGAGGAGGGGGGCACCATGCTGCCAGCTCTGTGAAAGTGATTGGCAGCTCTGGAGCTGCCACATCACTTTCAAGCCAGTGGGCGGCTAAACAAAATCCACACAAGCTGACTGCTACTGCAGGCATCAGCTTGTGAATAAAAGGTTCATTCTTTGGAGAGCTGAACTGGTTAACGAAGACTTTTCTCTGTACTCCAGAGAACCCCACCCCTGTAGCCAATTGAAGGTATACTTTTGGGAGACATCACATGTAAGATTGCCTTCTTAGGGGCCGGTTTGTATTTTAGGTGGGTTTCTGGCACAGGGACAAGGTGGTCTTGAAATAAAGACCTTCTTTTCACCTCAATTAGGATTTTGCCTTGCCTTTTCTCTGTTCTGCTTCAAAATACATCAGGGAGATTTTCCTACGCTGCTTAGATGTCGTCAAGACTGTTGAGGTGTACTTGGCAGCCATAGATTCTATCTGCATGGCAGAGTCTGTTTTTATCTACAAGCTCTGGCATAGGACATCCTGCTGTCCTGCTCCTCCATTGCCAGGTGGGTCAGACAACTTCTTTTCAGGGCTTTATGCTCTGAATTCCACCTTTCGCTATCAGAGGTTATTCTACCAGAACTGTTATTCTCTTTCCAGCATCAAGCATCTGTATCCCAGATTTGCATAGCTGTCACCTAGTCCTCTGCTTGCACATATTTTACCAGGTGGATGTTTAGGCCTCGCTGAGCTTTGGCCACAAAGTTCTTCAAGCTGTCATCTGAGTTTTTTTGCTTTTTTGGGGGAGTTTATTGACCCTTGTTTTCTTCTGGGCCTGTTGACAGTTTGTTTGCTTCGTTGACGCCCACCCCTTACTGGTTTTGGACATCCCATGATCTATGGCAGCCTTTTTTCAACCAGGGTGACTTTAGGTTTCTTCAGGGGCACTTTGGATAAAAGCCTAAAAATTGCTCATTGTATACAAGTCAGCGGGTGGATCAAGCCTGCCTTTTAGTTACACAAAGGCACAGGTTTTCATTGTGCACCATTACAAACTTCTAGCTGCCAGTGTCCTAACAATCAATGGTGTCATCAATTGATAAGTAGGACGTTTGGCACCTGCATAGCATCCTTGTTTGCCCCTTCCTTACCTCAGCACTGGGTTCATATTAGCTGAGTGAGGGAGAAGAGAAACATTGGAATACTAATCAGTGTAAAGGTGCTCTTGCTTTGGAAGAATAAATCACCTCTAACGTTGGGTGTCCTACCTGTGTGGATGTTGCTGCGTTATGTAGAACTACTAGTTTAGTTTTTTACATTTTAGAATGGGGTGCCTCAAGAATTGTCCATAATGTAAAAGGATGCCTTGACAGAAAAAAGGTAGACAAACACTGGTCTAGGAATACAAGCCTGTGTCCTGTACTGCTGCTTATTGCTTGCTGGAAAAAAAAAAAACCTGGAGTCTCACACAGTGAATGGGGTTTTATGAGCATGCATTGAGGCTAGCCCTAGCAAAGATAAGGAATTTCCAGGTAAGTCCAAATTCCATTTTTATATCTGCTTTATTTTGGAGACCTTTAATAACCAGAACAGTATAACACCATCAAAATAGCCCTTTTTGTATCAAGTAGACCCTCCCAAGATCTAATTTTTTTTTTTTTTGCTTCAATATTTTAGCAACGAAGAAACATGCTTGTATTCTGGGGGTTAAAACATGGTGGTTGACTAGATGCTGCATGTATAAGTACACAGAGGGAGGTGAAGGGGTAATGTACAGGTCATGTACAATGGGAGGATAGAGATGAATTTGCAGATGTGGACAACCAGGGAGGTGAAGGGTTCATATACAAGTCATAGAGGATGGAGAATACATGCAGAGGAGAGGTGAAAGGGTAAAAAAAAAAATGATTCTACAACCCCCCTGCTGTTTGTCGATATTCAACATCAGGCAGCAGTATACCAGCCAAAACTGAATGATTCCACCAGAGATCAGTTGTACTTTGATTTGGAAATGGAATCACTTATTGCACTGCTGCCCATTTTCCTCTGTGTTCGGGGATCTATTGTGCCATTTCACACCAAGCAAATGATCCTATTGTACTTGTTGGGTTTTTCCCTTCTATTATGTTGGGGAGAATTCCATAAGAGTAAGTAAGAACTATGGCATCGACAGCTTCTCACTAAAATTCCCAAAAGTGGTAAAAATCCAGGTGGTATCTTAACCCATCAGACTCTACCTATAACTGCAATATTTGGTTGACTCATCCTTTAAACTAACACTTTATTTTTCTAGATAAAGTAAGAAAAGTTTAAAAGCTCTGTCAGGTATTTATTGCTCTCTGTATTGGGTAGGTGAGGTCATACTACTGTTCCTGAGGTATAGATGAGAATTAAAAGTTAGGCTGCTTTCACACTGGAGTTTTTGAAGCATTTGTGTTTTTAAAAAAAAAAAAAAAAAAGCACCTGAAAAGCTCAAAAATGCTTCCCTATGTGTGTTTTTACACTGAAAGGCTTTTCGGTGTGAAAACTCCTGCTTGCAGTATTTTTGGGGCATGTTTGGGGAGTTAAAAAAAAAAAACAAAAAACCGCCTCTTCCTATTTGAAATAAATAGAAAATACCTGAAAAGCGCCTCAAAGGAGTGTTTTTGGTGCAGTTTTTAAGCCGTGTCCTTTTAAAAAATGCTGCAAAAGTGTGGTAACAACACCTATGTGTTTTTGTTGTGTTTTTTTTGGTGGATCAGTGTGAAAGTAGCCTAAGGGGGCCAGTCACACAGCATCACAATGCAGTAAACCTTGTTAGTGTGATGCGGTGCCATTTATTCTGAGCAGCACAGCCGTGTTCCTTCTCGACACGCTTGCATTTTAGTCCAGCTTGCAGCAGAGCTTGATTTTTGATAAGTCGTTCATTGGGCAATCTATTTAAATGAATAAGCTGCCTTAATGGGCATTAATGCACTGCAGCAGGCCATGTTGGTGTGTGCAGCCACTAAATTTCCCACAAATTAGGGAAAAACACACCTGTGACGGGAGTCACTTTGGGTGGGGGGCCCATGGAACCCAGCTCACTATGGAGAGGTGGGGAGACCCGTCTCAGCTCCCCATATCCCTCTTATGTGTAAATCACCCTGTGCCTGTTAGGGGTACAGTGTGATCTGTCCTAATATTGGGGTGGGGGGTTGTTGGTTGTTTATGTGGCTGCATCCTATTGTTTGGGAGCAAAATATTATGGGATGTTTGTGTATTAGCTTAGTGGGGGGGGGGGGGGTCCAGCAGCCCTCCCTCCTGATGATGGACTGTCTGCTGGTGTGAAGTTTGAATACCTGTGTGTCTCTTGTTACTAAATGTAGATTGCCCCACCGTGTGTCATTATGCAGGGAGGGGAGACTGTCCCCTGAGTGTATGTATCTTGTATCTGTGTTCAAATAAACTAGTCTACCTCCTGGTTTACTTCAAGGCTGGTGTCGTCTAGTCTTGTATGGTTGGCTGTGGTGTCTGTTGTTGGTGTTCGGACAGGGAAGCAGATTCTAAAGGAAGTACTCAAGCGCAGTCTGGGTCGGTTCCGTTACAACACCCGTAACTCGTATCATCGTTGGGAGATTTAAACTCTGTTCTAGTTCAGGTAACAACTTTGACAACCGATTTCTCCTCACCTCCTGGCCTGGTGATAATGGTTGAGAGAAAGTATACAGTAAATGGCAAGTCAGACAGCAAAAAAATAAAAAATTGAGAGGTTCTAACCCTAACTAGAAAACACTTCGGCTGGACATGCACTTTATTTTGTAGAAAGTAGCTGGGTCCAAACAGTTTTGATCTGCTGAATATCCTTTTTTGCTTGTTTCTATTCAAAGTGTATTTAACATTCTTTTTCTTTCTTTCATACAGTGGATTTTCCACCATCTGTTCGTATTCATTTGTTGACAAAGATGGCAGATATAGAGTGAGTTATTATATATATATTAAAAAATGTATCTAAACTTAAGAAAACAAATTGATACTGTTGCATCTTACTGGTTCTTAGATGTGGTGGCTGCTCAAATTTTCTTTTTTTTTTCCTTTTTTTTAACCTGGTGATCCTGGCTTTACCTAAATCACTTCCTGTTCATGGGTGACAACTGTACAGAGCAGCTGTGTCATTATAGGACAAGGGAGTATTAGGATTACATAACACCTCCTTCAGTTCTCCATAACAGGGGGAAGTGTTTTGTTGTCCTCTAACATAGCAGCAAACAATGCTAACTGATAACCTCCTGTAGTCTCTGACTCTGGACTATTATCAGCTAACAAGACTTAAAGGATCAGTTCACTTTAAATAAATAAATACATATTTTTTTGCAGTAAAATGCCTGTAAAGCATTGCACCAGCGATCAACAGATGCCTGGTGCTATGCAGTCTCCATCAGGCTGTCAGTTTGATCTGTGTACTCATACAAGCAGACAGTTTAACACTGACATGAAGACTGGATTGACTACCACAGCACCGTGGTAGTTCATTGAGAATTACCAAGCCGACAATTGCAAAGGATTCGGGACTTGTAGTTCATTCACAGAACTCTATGAATGATGTGGGCGGAGTCCCTCTACTGTGTTTTGATTTGAGAGACACCACACTTGATGTGGAATGATTTGGTTAAAAGAGAAGTTCACCTTATGGACAAAAATAATTGCACATTTTTTTTTGCAGGTAAAAAAATGTGCATTTTTGGCCAAAGGAGCCTAGAAAGCATTGCATCAGCAATCAGTAGCTTGCTGGTGCCATGCAGGTCTCCTGAAGACCTGTCAGTATATCTGCTTGCCGTATGGGATGTATGAGCAAGCAGATATTCTGACAGGAAGCTTCAATAAACTAGCGCCGTGGTAGTTCATTGAAAACTACAAGCCCATAGCCGCTAAGGCTGTCGGGAATTGCAGTTCATTCACAGAAGTCCATGAATGAAAGGCGTGGCCATGTGGGTGGAGCCCCGCACAGCTGCACTGTTTTCAAATCTGACAATACAGGAAGAAGTCTCCCCATACTGTTCGAGGGAGGGGGGAGGCGGTCGAGTGGGCATGGCTGCAGCAATGGGAACATGTTACATGGTCCACCCTAAAAGCGGGTGGACCATGTAACATGTTCCCAAAGGTACACTTATTCTTTACGTTTGTTGTGCCCATGATCTGTTCTATGTAAGCAGTCCTTTCAGGTATGGGCAAAATAACAACAGGGTTTCTTTGAGAAAGAAGTCCAGTTTAATCGTTGTGGACCTCTGAAAATGGCATAAATCTCTCTTCCATGTGATCCTATTAGAAACCCTTGCATTTTCTGCTGTTGAGATTCTGTTAGAAACCCTTGCATTATCTGCTGTTGAGATTCTGTTTGGGCATGATACATAGATAATACTAAAATAACCTTTATTTTTTGATAGATACAGGCTGGCTTCTGGGACCAGTGAGAAGATACAGCTCAGCTCCTTAATAGCTGCATTCCAAGTCACTCGAGATTTGATTGTAGCTGAAGCTTAGAGTGGGAAGTAGCAACTTGATGATGTGGTCAAGGTTACTCAAGGACAGAACAAGAAGTATTTCTCACAATTGTGCATACATAGCGGAGAAACACTGTGTTTAAAGAACATCAGAGACTGAGTTTTGGAGATGCCAAAACATTTACTTTCACACAGGAGTGTGAATGTTATGGGTTTTTTAATTTTTTTTTTGCAAAGAACAGAAAGTTACTTCTATTGTAATGCTTTTTCAATATGCAGTGACCTAAATAAATTACTTAACTTTCCTTCATGCCCAGAACATGGACTTACATTTACGCCAAAATGTACAAGGTTTGTATTGTTACTGCTGAAAGGAATAAAAACAAAAATTTATTTTTTTTTCCATCTTCATATTACATTTCAGTGCAGTTTTTATTGCATGTTAATTGCATCCTGCTCTCCTATAAAATGTACAATTTTGAAAGGGATGGGGAGGAATTCACAGCAACTTGTCACTTTTTTCTCAGCAACACAGCTCAATAAAAACACTGGTCTTTTATGTACAGCTTTCAAAGTCTTCTAATTGGAGAACTAGAATCAAGAGAATCTATGGATAGTAGCACTGCCAGATGCCCAAATCCCAAGCAGAGGAAATCTGGTTTACTATTTATTTCTTTATCTTCTCTGTGGGTCTTCTATGAAATGTGGCCTATCAGTTCAGTGAGAAAAGTGTAATCTGTACATATGCACCAAAACTGCCTCCATACTAATTTTTGCATGGGCTGCATTCAAGTTTTATCCTTTCATTTCTAGGGGGTCATCCAAAACCTACAAGACACAACCATATTTTTAAGCTTTTGTATGAACTGGTTTTAACCACTTCCCTGCCGCCCTATAGCACAAACACTTCTACACGATGGCAGGGCTGCGCTAAATCACGTGTATACATACGTGATTTTGTATTTCTGGGTAGATGGCACGTGCGCCCTACCTGCGCTGCCACTGGTGGCTACAGCTGTCAATCACCAGGTACCAGCCAGAGATTCCCTGCTGGCACCAACTATCACTGATGAGGGTGAGGTCTGTATGTAAACCATACAGATCTCTCCTGTCAGCTCCAGCACACTGCTTTCTATTGCTCTGCATAGCAGAGCAAAACAACATGCCTCCTTAGTACAGCACACAGTTAACCCTTTGCCCTAGATGTTAGTCCCTTCCTGCCCAGTGTCAGTGCTTTTTATCAGCACTGATCACTGTATTAGTGTCAATGGGGATGTCAGTGACAGTCCATTCCCCCCCTGTGTCAGAATGCATGCTGCAGTGCCCCTATAAGTAGCTGATCACTGCAATTACTAGTATAAAAATAAAATTCCAGTATAGATGCTGCCATTTGTAGATGCTATAACTTTCATGTAAACCAATTAATATACACATATTGGGATTTTTTTTTTTATTAGCAAAGACATGTAGCAGAATACATTTTGGCCTAAATTTATAATGAAATGTTTGGGGTATTTTTTTATTGGATAAGTTTTATAGCAAAAAGGCAAACTTTATTTAAATAAATACTATTTTGAAAAAAAACCCGCAGAGACTATCAAATACCACCAAAGAAACTTTGTGGGTAAAAAAAAAAGACAAATTTAATTTGGGTGCAGTGTTGCATGACTGTTCAATTGTCAGTTAAAGTAACGCAGCGCTGTATCGCAAAAAAAAAAATGGTCTGGTCAGGAAGGGAGGTAAAATCCTCTGAAGGGCAAGTGGTTAATTAACAATATTTAGTGTTACTAAAAGTCTGTATATGCAATAAAGCATGCTTGTTATACTCACTGTGGAACCTAAGGGGTTAATCATCCACATTGTGTAAAAAGGATGTTTGATCCTGTCTTCTTTGAACATCTTACTGTCCCCAATCCATCTGCTGATAGTAGAGAGCTCTAGGAGTCACTGCACATGCTCAATTTAGTGTGTATTGGTAGAGAGGTCCCTCCTCCTTTGTGAGGGTGAATGTTAAGTGATTGCACAGGGTAAGCTAGCACTCTCCAGCCAGAGGGTCAGGGGTTACAGCCTCTTAGGACAGTAAGCAGAATGAAAATTCCTACAAGCTTTAACCAGTGCTTAGCAGGACACTGATAGAAATCACAAGACTGCTCTAAACTGCTGCTGAGAAAAGGTATTTAGTAGTTTTATATTTACTGAAATAATTGCAGTTCTGTGGGAGACCAGATATAGTGAATGGAGGGTCCTGGGTTTAGAAACACTTTAACCATTTGCATAACAAAATTATTTTCACACTATTTTGTTTTTAGCATACATAGGGCCTTTTTTTTTTTATAATTAAAATGGTTTTAGGATGCAAGCTGAGCTTTCAACCACAAATGCTAGTTGTATATCAGGGCATCCTGGCTTTTGGAGTCCTACAGGAACACTCATTATTTGTCATTGTAGAGGAGGCACCTCCAGGGCCATAGGTTTATGGCTGTGCTATATAGCTATCACTGACATGGTGAAACAGTCAGTGGCAACACCTATCTAGTTACAATTTATACTGAAGGTCTGTGCACACTCTACACACAGAATTAATTATGGCAAACACAGCTTCCCAGTGCCCTGATAAACAAAGGACTACCTCCTAGGATTTTTTTTCCCATTCCTGGAGGGTCCAGAAAAGAGCATTTAAAGAGGTAAGCCATAGGTTTTTTTTTTTTTTTTATTATGCTATGTGAATGGAGACGAGTAAATATAAAATACACTGTCCCAGTTTGGTTGTAAAAGTGAAAATACACTAAGATTTAGATCATGAAGAGTCCACCAAGGATCAGATAAGGTCTGAGTACCATGTCTGCCTGAACCAGTTTTGTGAGTCACCAGCATACCCTGTCCTGCAGCAGGTGGGGAAGGCCTTTCCCACAGCGTTACCAGAGCATTCCATGCAAAGCCTAAAGAATTTCTGGAGCAAAAATTAAGTGTGTTGAACTTGAAAGGCAGGGGCTCTGCGTCTGGTACCCTCCACCTGTAGCAGAGGTCTTGTGTAAAAGTATGAATTGAAGATCCGTTAGCAATGTTACAAATGTAAGCATGATGATGAATAGCCCAGGAAGCACTGACCCTCCTTGCAAAAATAAACGGTCACTAGAGTAGTGGAACTTTAAGCTTGAGAAATGAGCTGAAAAATCCACTGAAATATGGAAGAGCCACAAGTTGCATCACCCTTTCTTGGGCCTTCAGGAAACAAAGTGGGAACCCAACGGCTGAAGAGCAGCTGTCGACTTCCCACAGCATCTAAAGCTTAGGAGAAAAAGATGACAAAACCAATGTCCTGGCTTAGACACAAAAATAGCTACTGAGGTGTAGAACCACCTTAACACAGTGTGGCCCCAGGAACTGTTCCTTATGGGAAAAAGCTGCCAATTCCAAAATTTTGTGAGCCAAAGTAATGGCAAACAAAAAAATTAACCTTCTGAGTCCAAAGGCCTAAAAAAAAACCATCATGGATGGGTTCTCAAGGAGATTTCTACAGTACAGAAAGCACCAAGCTGAGGTCTCATGGAGTCGACCAATTCCTGAATAGTGGAACAATATCCATGAAACCTTGTACCGTAGCACACATGTCTAGGATGCAATACCATGATATACTTGCGAGCCTGAAAGCCTCATCACCCCAAGCAAAATAAGAGTTCCAGGTTCTGTGGAAAATATTCCTTAAAACCATTCTCCAATCCTTCAGAAGGATAGGAATACCCTGATCCAGAGAATACTGTGTCTCAAGATTCTGGCTGCTACAGCCTAAGACACTGGCACGGTCATTCATCTAGGAGAGTGTTTGGAATTAGGAGGTTACAGAACTTTCCAAATGTGTTTCCCACCAACATGATAAACCATACTACCCCAACTGTAGTTTTATTTCTGTACTTTCTCCCTTTTTTAATTTCATGCCAAATTTATGTATGTTCTTTAGTTTAAGAATTATTTACCTTTGTACATGTATCTATGCCTGGTACATCGGGGGATATTAAATTATAAAATGAATTAGTGGCTTTTTGTACTAAATTAAGAATACTAGAGAGACTACTGCCTTGTGTCTGTGTGCTGAATTATAAATTTACTGTTAACCCCTTCCCGCCACCACCTCCTCCTGGCTGTTTAGGAGGATCTGAATGCTTGGAAGCAGAGGTGGGCATTCCAATCATGTCACCACTGATTGATGGTCACATGATCGGAAATCTCCCAATCACAAGTATGCTTGGGAGCTTTCCAGTACCCATTCATCATTGTGCTGGGAGCAGCAGCACAGTAAAGAGTTCACCTAGGGCCACATATATGCAGCTGCTCTGTGTTAAAGCCCACCCGCAGGAAGGCCGTATATATGCACAGGTCGGTGGGAAGTGGTTAGTCTATGAGATTGTAGTCTTTTGGTTGCAAGCTCAAGTTCTCCTTAATTGCAGCATTTGCTTAGTGTTGGTCTTTGGAAGTGGTGTGGGCAGTGGGAAAAGTCATTATACTAAGATTCTAGCTTACAGGATAACTTAGGTGGTCTCGAAGTGTGCAGGAATTTCTAGGCTTCTCCACAAACTTTAAGAATGTGCTAGATTGTACCTACCTGTGATCAGCCAGCTAGATTTGGGTAAAAATCTTCACCAGTGGCAGCACAGGTGGCTTTATCTTCTCAGAATAAGCTCCCCCCACCAACAAAGGTCCATGTCCCAGTCAAGGAGTCACCATGGGCTTGCATCATATCTTTGAAGTTGAAGACCATGCTCTCTCTATGGACTCCAGGATTTCAGGGTGAGTACAAAAGTTCATTTTACTTGTTAATGAGGTTGATATCACAGTGATGGGTCAATACTATTCCTGAAGAGGTGGACAAAGCAAGCAATCATAGTGCTTGCTATTTGCATATTTGTGGGACCAACAGCTAGCTTTGGAAAGCTTACCAGATGTCTAGACATCCAAAAGATGTCCTGTCTATACAAAAGATGATTGAGTTGATCTTTTGCCACAGGTTCAGGGTGTGCATAGATAAACTGATGTTAGATGTCTAGTGTAGCTGCCCTGCTTAATAGAGGTGTTTGAGGTCCTTGAATATGTAGTCCAACATTTCATATTTCTGATATGTGCTTGCTGTACTTGTATGGAAAAAGGACCCTGTTCTTTGTATGGCTTCCTTTTGTGTGAAATCCCTTGTAATCCTACCAGTCTCTCTGCTTTCCTATTATAAACTGACCACACTAAGCAGGAGAAAACAGCATGGTCAGTTCTCTGCTCTCCTCCAATGATCAGACTTCTCTGCCACATGATCAAACAAAAAAACAGCCATCAATTATAAGGCATTTTATTTCATTACATCGCCACATTCTGATCATACAAAGCAGAACACGATCCCTGTTTGTGTCACCTGATGTACTGCAACACACAGAAGATTTTTACTTTTAGTGTACAAATTTTTTTTGCAAAAATACAATGTACCATTTTGCAATGCACCCATGCTTATTTATAGTGCACAATATGAGGTAAAATATCACATTGGAAGGATGATAAAATTGTTATTCAATAGTGAATCGAACATTTGCAACTAACCAAAGGTCAGTGTTTACAGTTTAAAATTCCAAAAGTATGTTTAATGGAGAGTAAATAAATAAATACAAGTTTATAATCACACTTTTCAATGGTGTAGTTAGCATTAGGTTTGTCAGCCTGGCGGTTACAACATTCTACCAAGGCACATACATGTGTTAACACAAATACAGAGGAACTTTTCTGTGCACATAGAACACAAAAAATAAAACCCCAATTACTGTAAGGATATAATTTCATTGTTACACTAGGCACTACTAAATTGAGAAAAAAAAAAAGTATTTATAAAAGGAATGTCATCAGAGCAAATCATTTTGGTAATAGATTCAAGCAAGTTTGAAGGAAAAGTGTGGTTTCATCCAAAAGAGCAGGGCTGCAAATATCTGAAAGTGACCCAGTACTCAATAACCTGTTGTGCTGCCAGCCTGTGCTCAATGCCACTTCCATATACCCAGAGCCAGCACTTATAGGAATGGGGGGGCATCTGGAAAAGCCTCCTGGATGGATGGAACACAAAGCTATCTACTTGAGCACAGGGTTTACATATTTATTTTACCCTTAAATATTGGGGGGAATTTACTAAAACTGGGGCATGCATAATCTGATGCAGCACTGCATAGAAACAATCCGTTTCCAGGTTTTGTTGGCACGGCTCAATCGAACAAGCTGAAGTCAGAAGCCTAGTGACTACCCTGCAGAGCTGCACCAGATTCGGAGTGCTCCAGTTTTAGTACTTTTGGATGCAACTACACTTATTGCTAAAGGGGTTTAACTTTTTTCTTTCCTATAAAAAGTGGCCTCCTTATCCCATTACTTCCTTGGTCCTTTCCATTAACCCCACTGTGTGCAGCAGGAGGTCACTTGCACGTGAAATGAAGCAATAAAACAAACAGGTACAATATTAATCTCAGAACCAATCCATTATGGCTCTTCTGACTGTGCTTGATGTGGACAATGGAAGTCTACCCCAATTAACTTTCATTTTTCAGTTCAGCTACAGTACTTTAAAAATGAAACCTCTTACTAACCTCCTGAAAATGCTAGTTTTCTTGGCTATTAAAGCCACAGGTTTAAAAGGTTAGTTCACCTTTTCAGGTACCCCCACCCCAATGGTCCCCGCTGTATTCACCTCTGTGGGTGATGTGCTATCAGTGCCTATGCAGCCGGTGCAGTGGTCTAGGGATTTGAAATCCAAGCTCTTCTTTCTGCAGGGCATCCAAGATGGATCAGAGCACTGCTATGTGCTGGCGATGACCAGAATAATAATGATCCATCCGGGATGCACTGCAAAAAAAAGAATGAGAAGAGCTTGAATTTTAAATCCCCAGACCACTGCTTCAGCTGAGTGGTGGGCGCTGACAGCTCATCATCCATGGCAGTATGTAAAGCGGAGACCAGAGGGGTGGGGAGGATATATGGTGTTAAAGCACCTTTTAATTTTTTTCTGAAAAATTTAATTTGCTCTTGAAAGTAAGTATGCACATTAGAAGTTCTGACTTTCCTGATCTGCATAGTGTTTGTGAGTCAGTGACTCAAAGTACTGAAGCCATTTATTCAAAATAATACCAGCAACTAGCAATTTCAAGAGGCCAGCACTAGGAGCTTCTACATTTCTCACAGTACAGGCTTCTTTTGTGTGTGGTTTTTTTTTTTTTTTTTTTCAATAATGCATGCATGCATACTTGCAAAACTGTCTTGTGGCTTTTACCTGCAGTTTGCCTGCTTGCTGGGACCTGAAATCTTTATGACATAATAAATAAATGACATAATCTGGAGCTGCGTGTGTGTGTGTATATGTATATATATATATATAATAAAATCAGGGACTCTACTGGCTGATGCTGTTCAGGGTCGGCATGTCAATATCAACAATGTGTAGCCGATGGACCATGTGCAGAATAACTGAAGGCACTGTGGAATCAGTGGGCAGTGCTCACCGATTACACATTACTAGTGTGAACATCAAAAGCAGCCACTGTATGAATGACTCATGTGGCACATGCACACAATGACTGCTGCTCAGGGCCTCCACCCACTGATGCTTTTAAAGTGCATTCTAGCACGTGGATATACATGGGGTGAGCGCCAGCAAGATCCTACATAAAACCATACACCTATGTGCATGAGCGCTAAGGAGCAAAGCAAATAACTGCACAGAACAAAGTGATTGGCAGCTGTATTTAGTAAAACAATTGGCTTGTAAAAGTGGCAGAAGAGAGGGAGATTGGGGCGAGCATAGAACAACCCCTGGTAACAGGTCCAGTTCCTGGGGGAAAAAAAAAATAAAAATAGTTACTATAGAGAATTTCCTGTGAGGAAAAGATTACAACATCACTTCCCTCTGAGAAGAGAACTGCCTTCATCACCTCTCAGTAATGCTGAGGAAGAAAGGCAAGATGGCATACAAATAATATGAAATATGGATACTGCAATATGTATTTACAAGTATGCATGCATCATTTTTTAGCCTGCAATTTCAGAGTGTTTACATAAAAAAAAGAAATCTGCTTTAAATGGGAAGAGCATGTCCTGTGTCACCTAAACGTCACCCTCTCCACAGTACTGTAGCAATTACAAGTTACATACATTAGCTGGGTTTGTACAATTACCACCACAAAATTTTGATTTCCACTTGAGTCATTGTGTGTTTTTTGTTTTTCTACACTGCAAAATGTATGTTTTGGCTAAACATAGATGGAAAAAGTTCACAAGCAGACATTCTGCTCTAGATGCGGTCTACTTTCCTTTAGTGAAGATATATTTTAACGGCTATTTGAATATATCTAATGAAGTAAAGAGAACGGGATGCTTTTTTCTCTGTCCTGTGCCTTACAAGATGAAAACATTCTTATAGAAGAGAGCTGCAAAGTCAAACCTGGTCTTCAGCTCAGGAACCATCCCATTGCAAATGCTTTTTGCCTCAGCCTTCATACAAGTGACCTGTGCTGACCAAGTTTATTTCCTATAAGCTGCAGCGATCGTGCGAGTTTCAGATTCTAGAATGAGGTCCACTGCCTCAATATTCCTCGTTACTGTAAGAAGACTAATAGTTAGTCCTGTAGGTAAGAAAATCCTTCATTTTTCCAGGAACTGGCAAAGCAAGGACCTGATAGGTGGTTAGGAAACAACGCAGTGCTTTGCGACACAAGTGCCTAAGTGAAGACAGGACTCGAGGGGACGTCCAGAACTGCACTTGTCCATCTCGATTTCTGAAATACAGAAGATGACACAATGTATACCTCTACTCAATTGTAGATCAATTGCAGGTAAAATTTCATGACATTCACTTATAATTTCACAGATTACCTCTTGTGTACCATAAAAATATTTATGTCTGTGATTTAATGCTGAGCGCCAGGCAAACAAAAAAAGACAACAAATAATGCTGCTCCAGATTTATTAATGTATCAATCTTTCTTAAAATACAATCAGTGTGTGTATCTGAATTTGACTCGTAATCACTCCCTTTCAAATACTATACATCAGAGCCCAGACTGGGAGAAGCAGATAAAGGAGCCAATCACTTGTGCTGCAGTGCAAGCAGCATACTGATATGAGGAGAAAGCAGAGTGATGGGAAGATGAGCTCATCAGTCTGCTACTATTCCTTGCACTGTTCAGTCACATGCTGGGGAAAGAGAGAAGAGTTACTGAACTGCAACACAGAAAAATGTTATCTTCCATGTCAGAGTTGTGCTGTATGGCAAAGCGGAATAAATCTCAGAACAAGATCGAAAGAAATACAAATCTTTTGGTAGGTAAAACAGCTCTCATACATGTATTTTATCTGTGCACTTAGCTGGTTGCCTGGAGCTCATGTTTACAAGCTTGCAAGATAATATTCTTTGAGAAAGCAATACAGATTTGCATCACCATTGGAATTTAGTTTCATTCTTCATTTCTCAGGAATTCCCAAACATGGCGGCTCCCACAATATTTAAACCCCAACCTTGCTTCAATGTATAGTTCTGTCATACACACCTACAACTGCAAAATGCAATAAAGTTCTCTCTCTCTCACTCAGACCCTAAAGCTTTGGAACACACCTACACCTACATCTGCAATTTGCTGGCTGTAATGCAGCCCCCACCAAAGCAAATGAAGCTTTAATATAGGACCTCTAGGCATTTAAGGAGGTGTTCTTAAATACTGGGACCTCACCCACTGGACACATAAGGGTCTTATTTAGATAAACTGCTAGATTCACTGAAGGCAAACTCCATTTCTTAGTGAACTCACTTTCCATGGGGTATTGCTGGCCTTATTGGCAAACACCTTGTTACGGTAAGCATGCCAACCTTTTTTGGTGAAAAGAACACCTTGTCCGTGAGGATGCACAGGGAAGGATTAGTCCCACTAGAGGAGTCGCTTGTTTGCTGTAATCTGTTGTCCCACAGTAGAAACACTCTTCTGCAACCTGCTAAGACTTTCGGTATATACATGCTGTTGTCAGCGCACTGCACTTTTTGATGTCACTGGCCATACTGTGCATGTATACAGGGTGCATAGAATGCAGGCAGTCACTAAAGCATTAAGAGGAGTTACCAGCAGGGATGTTCTCAGAGTACTCACCAGTCCAGCCGCAGACACCCATCACAGTGGCCTCTGCCGCAAGGGCCTTCAGGTACCCAACTCTACAGCTGGGGATCACTGCCTTAGACCTGTATGCACTCAATCAGTTCGCAAGGCAATATATCATTGTGTAGTGTCCTGTCCTGCACAGTACAGTGACAACCAGCAAACTTATAGGCCATCCCCACTTGTTCGGTGCAGCGTCAAGGGACCATGTCTGGGCTAAGGAAAGCTGTAGGCAACAGATGTGGAACAGCCAGTCTCCTAATCCCAGGTAGAATTCCTGAGAAGCTAGCTATTTTCATGAAGACTGCATAGACTTGACCATCATTAAAGACACTTGCAAAAAACTGAAGCCATGACTAGATGATAGAGGTTATGCCTAGGGTGGATTTCCTGTCTTTTTTGCCAGTGTCCATCAGCTGAAGGCAGCAGCATAACAATAATGTTATGGATATGAAGATTTTCTGTGTCCTGGGATGTTTGATAAATAAAACATATATATTCTCTGCAATACATGCCTTTAAGTAAACTGCAAGTTCAGACAGAATCTGGAGAAACGATGCACAGTTACCAATCAGCGTCTATCTTCAGCTTGTTCGGTTAAGCTTTGAAAATGAAAGCTAGAAGCTGATTGGCTGCATAGCACAGCTGCTCCAGTCTTCCCCTCAGTGTATTTTTTTGCTCTGAATTCCAAAGCAAGTAGTGTTAGGCCGGTCTAGTTCTTTTTTGATGCATTACAAAGAACACCCATCTCCTTGTGTCTATAACCCTTTATACTAAGCAGACCAAAAGGAGCAAATAAGAAAAGTTCATTGTTTGGGTTAGGATACACTTTAAAAAAAAGTTTCAAAGGGGTTTTGTTCATGTTAGAACTACTACCTTCTCCCATAAGTGGAAATGCAAAAACTGCCTGAAGCATGCTGATGCAGCTTAGAATGAGGACAATTCTAAATGATCTTAAAAGTGTCTTAAATTAATGTCAAAGGGAAGCAGAATGCACCTGTGAGCCCTTATTTCTCATATTCCCACTACTGTTTACTTCACATCTGATGGAATACTAGCAGGACTGTACAATCAGAACGCCTGTTAGTACAAAACTGTCCAATCAATGTTATTTTCCCAAACCACTGTTAGTGCCATATCCATTTGTTCCTTAAATAATAACATCATTATATCTCCATTTTTTTTTTAAAAAAAAGCTTCTTTTGATGAACAACCAATGCTGTCATAATTAGAAATAAACAAGGATTATCCTCACTTTTATTGGTCATTAAAAGCAAACATTTTATTACAGTTACATGGAGGCTTCCACATGCGTTTTCCTTCCAAAAAAGCTAGCTGACTTTCATAGTGACTCTTCTGTAAAATACTGAGCTACTGATCTGAAAAAGCATGCAGGTCAGAAGTTCTGACTTTCTTGAACTGCATACTTCTTTCAGGTAAGTGGTTTAGAAAGTATTGGAGACAGTTTGTCAAAACAGCCAGACAGCACTCCTATTTATCTAATGACATTTAATATTGAAAGAATACAAGTAATATTATTACTAAACCATGGCCCCGCAATGCCTCCTCATGGATTTAGAAATTGAAATAAGATCTCAGGTGCAGAAGTGGCGGGTACTGAAGTGGCTGAGCAGCAATTAGGTGTCCATCATATTAAGAGATGACGGGGGCATGGTAAAATCATGTTGTTATTACATATGCACTCTGGCATTTCACTTACCCTGTAGCGAGAATTCCTCCATGTGGAAAGAATGTACAACACAGACCATTTGTTACAGGAGCAGCAGACAAGGGTTCTTCATGTTCTAGGGACCATATTCTCAGAAATCTGTGGAGAAAATATGCATTTATTAACCACTTGCCCTGCAGAGGAATTCCCCCCTTCCTGACCAGGCCATTTTTTGCGTTACAGCGCTCCGTTACTTTAACTGTCAATTGCGCGGTCATGCAACTTTGCACCCAAATGAAATGTATGTCCTTTTTTTCCCACAAATAGAGCTTTCTTTCAGTGGTATTTGATCGCCTGTGCATTTTTAATTTTTTGTGCTATAATCAAAAAAAATACGGACAATTTTGAGAAAAAAATAAATTTTTGACTTTTTGCTATTGAAAATGTCCAATAAAAAAACTTTAAAAATCAAATTTTGTCATAACTTTAGGGCAAAATGTATTCTGCTACATGTCTTTGCTAAAAAAAAAAAATCCCAATACGTGTAAATTGGTTTACGTGAAAGTTATAGCGTTTACAAATGGCAGTATAGATACTGGAATTTTCTTTTTTTTACTAGTAATGGCGCGATCAGCGACTTATAGCGGGACTGCTGTTATCATTCTGACACTGGGAGGAACTGACTTGGTCACTGACATCCCCAGTGACACCAATGCAGTGATCAGTGCTAATAAAAAGCACTGACATTGTATTAATGGCACTGGGCAGGAAGGGGTTAACATCTGGGGTGATCAAAGGGTAAACTGTGTGCTGTTTTACTGGGGGGCTGTGTCTGTGCTTTCCACTGTAAACACACTGCTTTGTATGGCTCTGCTATGCAGTTCTTTCCCCCGTCGATACTACTCAGCAATCACTGGCTAGGACCCAGTGATTGACATCTGAGGCAGCCCCCTACCCGGAAATGCGTAATCACGTATATATATACACTTGAATTTGCGCACCCTTGCTGCCCTGTAGCAGTATTTCTGCTATAGGGTGGCGGTAAAAGCAGTTAAAAAATGTAATCCTCAAAAAACAAATAAGGTATTCAAAATGGAAACACTGATTTTGGAAAATGTAATTCAGTGGTGTAAGTGCTGTGAAATTCTAACCTCTGAGGACCAGTATATGGTAAAGAGGTTTACATTATACGAACAAGCACTGGTATTAAAAAAAAAAACAAAGATCACTTAGATTTGACTAAATGTTTTATTTGCACAGGTTTAGCTATCAAATGACAGTTTGTTTTACTCAACTATACCATCTATTTTATTTATATGCCCCATTCACACACGGTGACAGTTGCGTGCCCCATGCAGAGATGTGTGTTATAAGCCCAGAGATGTTGCGTCCATCCCTGTGCTGGCAGTACTAAAGATATTTTTTGTTACTCGTGGCTGCACAACATAGCTGCTGTGTCTCGTTGTTGCATCTGCGTGGGTGCATGGCCCCAAATGCACCCAGGTCTAGTTCAGGGACACACACCCACACAGATGTCACTTTGGGACACAGCGGCTGTGTCTGTGCAGCAGCGTGTCCCAATAAACATCTACAGGACTGCCGGTACGGAAATGCACACAACACTTGTACATCCTCGTGCTGGTAACAGATGCCCCTGAATGGGGCACACAACTAGTTGCACTGTGTGAGCAGGGCCATTAAGGAGGTACAAACAGTTACTGTGCAGGAAGAGTCAATGAACTACAAGGGCGCTCATCAGTGCTCCCGTAGGTCGCTGAGAACTAAAAGCCATCTGCCACGGTGGCAGACGAGACTTCTATTTCAGTCATTCATAGGTTGCAGAACTCCCACCCACTGTCACTGGGGAGGTGAGGGGGGGGGGGGGGGTAAGATGTCAGCTGCTGCACATTAACATGTTACACCCTAAATACTTGTTACAAAAGGTGAACTTATCCTTTACCCCTTTTGCTGCCAGGCCCTTCGCTCTGCTTTTAACCTCCCTAGCGGTCTGATTATGTCCATATTTCTGTGCTCAAAACGGTACTTTTTTTGCATGGAAATATGTATTTTTTTTTTATTGTAGGCGAGTAATTTTTAGGAATAACTCACTGAAATCTATAGAACAAGAGTCTAGTAAACATCCCGGGTATGTTAAAATTTGAAACACAAATTCATAAATTATAATTGAATAAATAATCATAAAAAAATAATAATATAATAATACATTTAATTAAATAATATAATCAAACCAAAAACACAAGAAATTTGCAATAGAGCGCCAAGTTGGCACATCACTGAGCAAAGTCGCAAAATTATTTTCAGTGTCTGATGACGAATTTCTCCAGGAATCATTATCACTCAATTCTGCAAGTAGTTCTAATTTACTATCGCTGTTCTCTAGCTGGTCTAAAACCGCTTTTGACCTAAAGGGACGCTTTTTGGATGCCATGGACATTTCTCAGTTTCCAGGCAGAAAGAACAGTAAAAATGCAGGCAGGGCACAGGATAAAGCACTAGGAACAAAATGTATGTGAAATGGTTTGATATAGTAATGATATACTATGTGATTTTAGTGAATGTCACTTTTACAACTTTCAAATTTCCCGCCAGTTCCGTCCCCTGTACGTCCCGTACGTCTCGGCATCACAGGGAACGGAACTCAGAAGACAGATGCCGGCATCCGCCGGAGGACATTGCAGGGGACACTGCAGGAGGGACATCGCGGGAGCGCAGGAAAAGGTAAGTGAAGAACAGATCCCGGAGCAGCGCTGCAGGGTATTCCCGAGTGTGGCTCAGGGTTACTGCTTGTGGTGCTGAAACTTTACCCCGAGCTACACTCGGGAATACCGCCAGTGAGATTAAACTCAGGTGTCTAGGCCATTTTCGCAATTTTTCCATTGCTTTTTTATTTTCCCTTACAGCTTTCAGAGTTTGTGAAAGACCCCCCAAACCATATATTTTCTGAAAGCACATGACCAGTAGCTACTGATTTTTAAGGCCCCACAATATTTGCGCAAATGTTTACCAAAAATATATTTTTGCTAAAAAATACACTAAAATCATTATTAGCAGATACAAAAACAGCAAAATTTACAAAATTCCTGCTAAATTACTACTAAATATTAAATCTTAACCTGTATTGAGTGAACAACACATTTTGGTAAATTTTAAATTGCACCTTTTTGCGAAATGGTGAAAATCAACCATATGCAAAAATCTAAACAACCAAATTTCTCTAAAAATCTGGAGGTTTTCATTTTCTCTTTACAGCTTTCAGTTTGTAAAAGACCCCACAAACTATATATTTTCTAAAAGCACATGACCAGTGCAATAAAAACCAGGTGCTACTTATTTTTTTGGCCCCAAAATAGTTGCTCAAATGTTTATCAAACTGCTATTTTCACAACCCCTCCCACTAAAATCCTTATTTGCACACAAAACTACAACATAAAACTTGCAAAATTCCTGCTATATTCCTAATAAGGCCAATTGGGGATACTAATGTGTACATCTATGGAGGGCCGTAGACAGGTGTTCTGTGCATCCCTGTGCAGGCAGTCCTAATCATGTCAACTGGAACGCAGCAGCTGAAAGGACGGATCAGACATCCAGGAGCCGTCACATCCCAATTGATATGGATGGGACTGCCATCATGGGGATGCACAGAACACCTGTGCAGTTAAACATGGCCTCGCTGTAGTATGCCATGCGTGAATGAGGACTTAGACTTGCAGTTGGGGCGTCAAAAATGCACGGTTGAGCCACCTGCCAAACGCCCCCCCCTTATGCTGCAATAGGCAGTGGACAAGGTACTGATGCCGTGATGCTTTGTGTCTGCGGAACACTTACCCAATGTGCAGCCATGCCATCCTCCAAACACTACACATGTAAACAGGGAAGCGCCGCAAACGCCCCTCAACCTTGTGCAATGCATGCGGTTGCATCGCATTTGTTGGTAAAATGGGGTTAAAACAGGCAGCGAGAAGGCATCACATCACTTCCTCACGGCCTGTAAGTAGCCACTGGAGTGCAATCCAAACGTGGATCGGGCTTCAGAAGCAAGGAAGATTCAGAGGCATGTCTACCCTTACCAATATATATATATATATATATATATATATATATATACATATATACACACACACACACACATACATACATACACACACACCTTTTTTTTTTTTTGCAGGTACATTTTTTTTTTGTAATATATTTTACATTTTTTGGGGGGAGGGGGGCTTTGGAGAGATATCAGTGGTCAGTGGTCTAAACAAACTTCTAATGTCTCTTTTTTGAAACCAACTTTCTTTACAGCCTGAGCTGCACTGTAGATGAATGGATATGAGTCTGTACAGATGCCTATTCATTTATAATATGAAACATAGTAAACAGTGTTAACTGTGTTTTCATTCATGAACTGACACATAGTAAACACAGTCGGTGCTTGGGGAGGAAGGGAGAGTTTGAATGGGGGGCATTTTAGATGTCAGCATAGGCAGGTGGAGGGGCAGGAGTAATAGTGGTAGAGAAGTGGTGGTTGGGGAGGGAGGGGGGGCTGCAGGGTGGTCACATTTTAGGTAAATAGCTCTGATCAGTGGCTTATAAGCCACCTATCAGAGCCATCAATTTTTCAGTAGCATCTGCTGGACAATTCTGCAATACATTCATGGTCACTGAAGTGACCATGCGCTTATAGCAGAGGAGGAATGCAGGTCTGTATGGACATGGCCAGCTAGAAGTGCTGAAGGTCCATACGCTGTACAGACCTGGCAATGAAAGGATTAATTTCATATCAGATAATAATTATTGAATAGAATTCATATGCATTTTTAAGTAGACATTTCTGTATGGATTTTACCTCAAAAGTGCTGTTTCCTGGTTAGTTTTTTGCCGTTTAACTTATAAACCTTTATACATAAGGCACACAACAGCTGAGAACACAAAAATCAGTTATAGGAAAAATTCTCTTGTAACAGTAGAAGTTGCAGCTTGATCAACTATTGAGACAGCAGGTGTTTTTCGAATGTATTCAGTGAGAGAACAATCCTTCATCCTCTATTATATGAATGCGCAAAAAATTCTTCTCACCTGTCATCTGCCAAGCTTGCAAGGTACATTCCTTCTGGTGAAAAGCAGACGGATCTTAGAGCGCTGAGTTGTGGTTCTGGAGAGCTATAGTCCAGCTCACGAGACACTGAAATATGGCTAAGAGCAAAATACAGCAGTTAACAAAATACATTTTACTCCAATTTCCCTAAGCATTACAGATATTTATCACATGCAATCCAAATTTTCCTGGATTGTTCAACTATATTATTACAATTGAAATAGTGATTACTAGCTTTTTTTTTCCTTCTTTGTATGCATCTATCACTACCTGATCAGATTGCCTGTGTGAAAGGGGCCTAATAAATAAATAAATATCATTTGTGTTTTTTTTTTCTCTTTTTACAATTTTTTTTATTATATCCTTTCATCAGAGCAGTGCAATGTTACCATAATAACACTACACTACTCTAGGTGATTGCTATTTTTTGCATTATGATTGCTTATACAGTGTCCAGTGAACACAGCGGTCAGGGGTGCGCAGGAGGCACAGTTCTGAGGGATGTACGGGTACGTCCACTCAGAATGCTGCTCGTCCCACCTGACCGTGTATGTGCTTTGGCCAGGTGGGAAGCGTTTAACTAACCAGATTGCTTTCTTTTTTGTGTGTACCAGGAGTTATAAAAATTAAAAGTTGCAACTACTTACACGAACTGTCTTAGCTTTTCGCCTGTATAAGGATCCCACAAAATCATTGTAGTGTCATAAGAGGCTGTGATTAAGAGCGCAGAATCTGGAGAGAAGTCACATGATACTACACTGTTTTGATGACCCTCCAGTTTCCGAATGAGAGTGTATGATCGCATGCTCCACAGTAGCACCTACCACAAGAAGAAAAAAAAAGTTCATAAAGAAGTCCAAACCTCTGTTCCCAAGTGTTAGCCACTTCAAGCTGAGTGGAGAACTACAATAATAGTTTCTTTTGGAAAACAGTAGAAATGAATTAAAACAGTCAATCTGACAGCTGAAATATGAAACTGCGAAGCCTTACCTGCCAAAAAATGTGTAATTATGTTCAGCCAATACTCTCATGCAGATATTCCTGCCAGTTAGCACTGCCAGGATCTAACCTCACTTTTCCCTTTGCAAATAAGATGTATTTAAAAGCATAACTTGTTGTACAGATGAGATCTGGGGACCAACATAATATTGCTGATAAAATCTAACTTTTGAACTAAATGTACACAAATTTATCATTTAACTCCATGGCGCTAACGGTACACAAATATGCGGCCTCTCAGCAGCTGGGCCTCGATGCCGAGAAGCCACATATTTGCATACCCAATGTAAACAAACATGCCGAGAGCGAGCAATCTACTCACTCCCAGCATGGTTACCGGAGCCTCACGGAAAGCTTCCAATCGCTACTTGCAATCAGGAGCTTTCCGATCATGTGACCACCAATCACAGTGGTCACATGACCCTAAACCCGCACACCGCCTCCCGGTGTCAGAAACCCTTTAAAGGGTTGGGAGGCGCCAGCGCCAAGGGGTAAAAGTACAGGTTAAAGCTGCTTTCAGGGTTTTTTATTTTTTCTCCCCCCATTTGTGTACCATTTGAGAGATTTCCCTTCACTTTCTACCCTCTAGACAAACAATTTAGAAAATCTCTCTCAAAAGAGGTCAATTCATTCTTAGCTGGCCATACACTGTTCAAAAATGTTAGTTCTATGAATGTTCAGTCTATTGTCTATTCGTTAGTGTGGTCAAATCGACGTTCATATCACAGTGATGAGAAATTCCAAGAAGCAAGAAGAAAAAATTCATGAACAAATGAACTTCTAACATTGTATGAAGTTTTTGTTCAAGGAAGTCCATTCATTCCAAAGTAAAATGTTAAAAGCAAAAAACTTTTGAAATACTTTTGAACAACAATCAGCAAATCATCAACTTTACTAAATATCTTAGTAAAACAAAGTTCTACTAAAATCTACTGGTGTTAGGCCAACCTAAGACGGTTGGCACTGTTACAAATGTTCCCATTCAAAAAATACACTATTTCTGTTTCAGTGACAACTCAAAGTTTCGGAATTTATTCCACTTTAGTTCCAGTGACAGCGGTCACCTGGACAATCAGAGAGTAAATATTTTCAGTGGGGGCACAGACCTGTTTAGTTCCGCTTTGAATAAAGGGGGAACATTCACTGCACCTGAACGCCACAAATCAAAAACGATATATAATTAATTTTTAATATTCAAAGCAAACTCACCCATTCATGTCTCCATGCTTTATTTTGCTGAGAAATCACTTTGAACAGCCGCCTAGCATTTCTGGTCGTGGCCATCTTGAGTAAGGGCAGATGATTCATTTAGCATTTACTTCCTAGAATCCATCTGCCCTTAGCTCAGGCATGCAGACAGGGGGGTGTGCTTGGCTGAGTACACCCCTCCTGGAATGTATGACATAATTTGCCTAGGCATTAAAACCAGGAAGTAACTGAAGAAATGTAAAAAAAAAAAAAAAAAAGTTTAAAAAAAGTAAAATGATATATTTTTCTACCTATATACGAATACTAGCAGTATAAGGATTAAAAAATAGTCAATGCTGACAAAGTGTGAAGTTCCGATTTAACAGTATGATAAAAAAAGAAGGAAAGGTTGTCAGAGGGTAGGCAGGAAGAGTACCTCATGTTTTCAAGGGAAAAAAAAAGTGATGTCTGTATGATCAAAAAGCGTGATTTATTGTTTACACTTGCAATTGAGGGGTGGTAAAATCCCGGAGTTGAGCCTTTTAACAAATTATATTTAAAAAATAATTTTATTAGTATAGTTAAACATATAGCACTTTTTATGACCACTTGTGCATTGTGGCAACAAATGCTAAAAACCGCCCTTCCTGACCAGGCCATTTTTTGCAATATGACGCTGCGTTACTTTAACTGACATTTGCATGGTCATGCAATGCTGCCCAAATGAAACTTATGTCCTTTTGTTTCCTACAAATGGAACTTTCTTTCGGTGGTATTTGATCGATTCTGCAGTTTTTATATTTTGCGTTATAAACAAAAAAAAATCAAATTTTGAAGAAAAAAAAAAACAATATTTTTGACTTTTTGCTATAAAACATATCCAGTAAAAATGTTTTAAAAAAATCCAATTTAGTCATAAATTTAGGCCAAAATGCATTCTGCTACATGTCTTTGCTAAAAAAAAACAAAAAAAATCCCAATACGTGTAAATTAATTGCTTTACATGAAAGTTATAGCATCTACAAATGGCGGTTTATATACTGGAATTTTTTTTTTTTTTTTAAACTAGTAATGGCGCGATAAGCGACTTATCGCAAGTCTGCAGCGGGCATTCTGACACCGGTGGGGAACTGACTTAACTTCCACTGACATCCCCAGTGACACTAATACAGTGATCAGTGCTAATACAAAGCTGTAATAATGACACTGGACAGGAAGGAGGTAACATCTGGGGGCAATCAAAGGGTTACCTGTACTGTTTTACTATTTTGTATGTGTGTGCTTTACTTTGTATGCACACTGCTTTGTATTGCTCAGCTATCGACAGCTGCCAACGGAAGCACAGGTAGGGTAGCACGTGCGCCCTCTACTTGGTGATGCAAAATCATATATATATATATATATATATATATATATATATATATATATATATATATACACACACACACACACATACACATACACACACACACACACACACACACACACACATATACATACATATACATACACACACAGTCAGGTCCATAAATATTGGGACATCGACACAATTCTAAAATTTTTGGCTCTATACACCACCACAATGGATTTGAAATGAAACGAACAAGATGTGCATTAACTGCAGACTGTCAGCTTTAATTTGAGGGTATTTGCATCCAAATCAGGTGAACGGTGTAGGAATTACAACAGTTTGCATATGTGCCTCCCACTTGTTAAGGGACCAAAAGTAATGGGACAGAATAATAATCATAAATTAAACTTTCACTTTTTAATACTTGGTTGCAAATCCTTTGCAGTCAATTACAGCCTGAAGTCTGGAACGCATAGACATCACCAGACGCTGGGTTTCATCCCTGGAGATGCTCTGATAGGCCTCTACTGCAACTGTCTTCAGTTCCTGCTTGTTCTTGGGGCATTTTCCTTCAGTGTTGTCTTCAGCAAGTGAAATGCATGCTCAATCGGATTCAGGTCAGGTGATTGACTTGGCCATTGCATAACATTCCACTTCTTTCCCTTAAAAAACTCTTTGGTTGCTTTTGCAGTATGCTTTGGGTCATTGTCCATCTGGACTGTGAAGCGGCGTTCAATGAGTTGTGAAGCATTTGGCTGAATATGAGCAGATAATATTGCCCCAAACATTTCAGAATTCATTCTGCTGCTTTTGTCAGCAATCACATCATAAATAAATACAAGAGAACCAGTTCCATTGGCAGCCATACATGCCGACGCCATGACACTACCATCACCATGCTTCACTGATGAGGTGGTATGCTTAGGATCATGAGCAGTTCCTTTCCTTCTCCATACTCTTCTCTTCCCATCACTCTGGTACAAGTTGATCTTGGTCTCATCTGTCCATAGGATGTTGTTCCAGAACTGTGAAGGCTTTTTTAGATGTCGTTTGGCAAACTCTAATCTGGCCTTCCTGTTTTTGAGGCTCACCAATGGTTTACATCTGGTGGTGAACCCTCTGTATTCACTCTGGTGAAGTCTTCTCTTGATTGTTGACTTTGACACACATACACCTACCTCCTGGAGAGTGTTCTTGATCTGGCCAACTGTTGTGAAGGGTATTTTCTTCACCAGGGAAAGAATTCTTCGGTCATCCACCACAGTTATTTTCCGTGATCTTCCGGGTCTTTTGGTGTTGCTGAGCTCACCGGTGCGTTACTTCTTTTTAAGAATGTTCCAAACAGTTGTTTTGGCCACGCCTAATGTTTTTGCTATCTCTCTGGTGGGTTTGTTTTGTTTTTTCAGCCTAATGATGGCCTGCTTCACTGATAGTGACAGCTCTTTGGATCTCATCTTGAGAGTTGACAGCAACAAATTCCAAATGCAAATAGCATACTTGTAATGAACTCTGGACCTTTTATCTGCTCATTGTAATTGGGATAATGAGGGAATAACACACACCTGGCCATGGAACAGCTGAGAAGCCAATTGTCCCATTACTTTTGGTCCCTTAACAAGTGGGAGGCACATATGCAAACTGTTGTAATTCCTACACGGTTCACCTGATTTGGATGTAAATACCCGCAAATTAAAGCTGACAGTCTGCAGTTAAAGCACATCTTGTTTGTTTCATTTCAAATCCATTGTGGTGGTGTATAGAGCCAAAAATGTTAAAATTGCGTCAATGTCCCAATATGTATGGACCTGACTGTATATGTGTGATTTTGTGCAGCCCTGTACTGCTATAGGGCGGTCGGGCAGCAGTTAGAGTGCAATACCACAAAGCATGGCAATACACTTAATCTATGTGCACTGTGTTGCGGTGCCATTTATTGTGAATGGCACTCCAATATATTGCACAACAGAGCCCAATGTACATCAGCATACCACATAGCATATACAGTTGTGTCCAAAATAATAGCAGTGTTTTTAAAAAAGTGAGTAAAGGTCAAAATCCTTATAGCTTTTATTTCCATACATGCAAATGCACTGAGAACACTGCACAGTCTATTCTAAATCAAAACGTAAAGAAAAATGTTTCAAAATTTGTTATTACTTTACAGAAAGTGAACAAAAGGAAAAGGAAAAGGATGTTTAAAAAAAAAAATAATAGTGTCTGCATTTTATTTTACAAACTCAAACATTTACGGTATTAAACTGAAAAATGCTTGAAGATTTGGC